TTTCGAGGGGAGATGTGGCTGGCTGCCAGCCCCTGGATTTAGGGAAACCAAGAGCCTCTCCAACTCAGAAGGGTCCAAGGTCCAACTCAAAATGAGGTCTTCATACGAGTATCGGGCAGTGAGCTGGGATTCGCGACCGAATTGATAGATGCGTCAAAATTGGAAGATTGTCTTTTGGGTTTGATCTGACCCACAGAACACGCAAAATAGGAATGTAAAAATCACGCCGATGTGTCTCGCATTCTGCGGCAGCCATACAGTGCGCGATCATGGTCAAGCATGCTGTTGACTCTTGACATCCCGTCAACTACCTGTGTGGGCATGTTCAACAGTTGCGCAAACGTTCAGGGAGCTCAAAGAGCTGCACATGTTGTTCGGGGAGGAAGTGGGCTTAGCGGCTGCTTTTGTCTCCACCTCCAAGCTGCACCTGGAACCCCAAAGGTGTATTGACGATATATGTCCACTAACCCTTATGAAGGTGTGCAACATGACGCCCAAAACGAAACAACATGGCTTGGAAGCCTGAGTCCAATCTGCCAAAAAATGATGGACAGCTTCTGTTCTCCAAATCGAGCGTCCACAGAGACCGAGAACAAGGACAAGCGACTCGGACCCCCTGTGGCGTCTTGCGGCGTTTCCAGACCCCATCAAACATCAAATAGCGCGCGCTGAACACATCTGCAAAAGCAAATGCTCGTGGCTTGAGGCCCTCAAAGACCAAGTTCTGAGCGCACAGGTGAGTTGGAAACTAAACATGTTCCTGGCGAACCCGCCGAGGGGCCCAAGGGGCAAGCCATCCCTGTTGGCCGAAGCCATGTCATAGACTGGTCTGTGACGAGTGAAGCGACTGGATGCGTTTGCCCTCGGTACTCCAACAAAACGTGGAAGTGCACAAACCCCCTTTTGAGCAGATTCCTTCCTGGAAAGGGGAGCCTGTGCTTAGAGTCTGTGCAGATAGAGGGAATACTTGTGATCGTGCCAAATCGTGGAGCAGCCCCTGTCGAGCACGGCCCACACCGCAACGCGCCTGCCATCAGCCAGAGCCTGGCAGGCACGTTGACTTGCACAAAGTCTGCGTGGCAACAGGAGCACGAGACCACAGCGTCCTAAGGATCATCCCTCAACATGTTTCATTCCCACCTTTTATGGAAATTCCCCCTGAACCTGAAACGGACCTCCCCAAATCCAGGATTGGTTATGTGAGACGGGAAAGCGAATCTGCCAAAAACGGCATCGGCTTGGGTGTCTTTTCCCAGCCCTTTTTGGATTCGCTTCGGAGGAAACCAGCTGAGGAAACCAGAGGATCCGCATCTTTCAAGGGTAGCACCGATTTTTTGAGCCGCCCCCATCTGACAATCTGACGGCCGACTGAGCGCCCCGCCGGCCGTTGCCCGCTGGCCGGCCGCTGGCGCCCGGACGTGCAGCTTCGTGGCTCGAGCCGTGAGGGGCGGCACAGCTCCGCTGGCCGGAGGTTCGTTTTGGTCGTATTTAAGTTTATTGACTATTGAAAGACCAAACTAATCCAATCCGGGTACTGGTGGCATGTGCGGATGTGGTGTGCGACCCTCCCTCCTACACCACCCTCTTGAGCAACTTTGAGGGCTCTCAGAGGGTGTCCAGTACCTCCAAACCACTACCCCAAAGGAACAAATGCGCATAATTGTATAACCGTATAACCACCCCATATTCCAACGCAATAGGGACAATGAGTTCCCTGGCGCACGGCTCCTTGCCCCCCTTGGCCGCTTGTTTCTTGCGGTGGTTTCACGCTTGCGATCTTGCGGTTTGTTGCCGTGGTTTGCTCCACATAAACAGTACCTAATTTGTCCCAGACCCAACCTCAAAAAAGCTCGAGTTGTGTTCTCAACATGAACATCATGGAACCTGGGTTCAAAAGGGACTTCTAAGGATCATCTAAAGTACTCGGGAAGAGGGTCAATGACTACGCTAACAACAAGTTGGTGGCCAAAATGGCCTTTGGTTGCTTCAAAAGCGGAACGGGCGTTCCTTGCCGCGAAAACGATCCCTACTAAATGGCATCAAGGTGCAGACCTAAGACACCGATCCTCGTGTGCTCACGGCATGCTCTAAGGGCACTGCACCCCGTTAGGCTTCATGTGCCGAATCCTTCATCCACTTCGGAACTTGGCCTTGCGGCAGGCAATTGGCGTCAAAGTCGAAGCGGGGGCGGGGGGGGGGGCGAAGTTGGTTCCTCGCCTGCGCCTCGAAGGCGTAGTCACTGCGCATGGGGCTGGTGGGCCTTCGAAACGGATCAGATCCGTGAAACCCTTTCACTGGACCATCCAGTTCCCTTTTGGAAACCCGGCCGTGTAGCTTTCGATGGCTTTTCCCAGAAGGGATTGGGGAGCAAAACAAAGCCAGGCTTTTCCAAACGGGGGATCTATTGAGCGACGGCAACGCACCCCCACCAAAAAGGGCCAGCCATGTTCATTTGCAGGTGAACTCACGGGGCTATGCTGGCACTTGGCGCTTCTCTCGAAAGCGTGGCGAAGCCATGTGACCTTTTGCAAAGTAGATTCCTGGTAAATCACCGGTTTATGGAATAAACGAATCTCAACCAGTGCCATGTATTTCTAAGCAAAATACACTAAAAAGGACCCCTATGGGCGAAGCGTTCTTTGCAACAAGGGTTGGTGTGTTATATGATGTGTTATTTTAAAAAAAGACTGACAAACGTTGCAAATATAAGTCATGTTCATAGCAGTGCTTCAACGGCAACCAGCGATTTGCACGGACCTACGTTGGCGACGATTTGCGCAGCGACGTGCACTGCTCTGCTTGAGGCTGCTTGCACAGCTTCTCTTGTGTAAGCTGCTTGCCGATCTGCACAGCTTTGCGTAGGCACCACTTGCGTCGCTTCTCTTCTCTGCTCGTTCTCACGAGGTGCGTCTGGCAGGTGCTGGTGGGATGACCCCTCTGAGGGGATCGGGATGTCGAGCAAGGCATTTACCAAGCAAACTCTTGCCTGCTGGCGAATGTAACGCCATAGCCATAGCGGAAGAAAATAGGCAAAACCACTCAGAAAGCTCATCTCACGCGCAAGGCACGCCACTCAAACGCAACACAAGGATGCAGCACACAGAGAGAACAGAGACTGGGGACAACCGCTTCGTCCCAGCTGACATGATTCGTCTTCCGGGCCTTGAGGATGGTCTCCCAATTACAAACCCACGGCCAAGCAGCGCTTCAACAAAATGTTGCAGGTAAGACGGGGGTGGAGCGAGTTCGTTAGCAAGCCTGTCCATGCAACCAATTGACACATGCTCAAAAAACACTTCTGTCAGAGAAGAGCGCGCTACCTACGTGACCAGTGGGTCTTGTTGCGGTGTTCAATTGTTCCAGGGTCAAAACTTGTGTGTGAGCCACGGTGCTCGTCTAAATTCCACGAGAGGTGCAGAACCATGCCCACGCCAAGAACGACCATGGTGTCTTGGAAATCCTCTAAGAATCCCATATAAACTTGTCCATTGAGGTGATCTGACCATCGGATGCCTGCTGCGGCCCCGTCTGGAGCATGGCGCCTGAGAGCTGTTTGAAACGGAGCCAAACGGGAATGTTCTTGTCTGGTTTCACGAGCGGTTGCCGTTGCCCTTTCAAACCCAATAAGGTCGCTCAAAAAATGATACTTGCAGACTGACATGGAATCCAAAAACACCCGTAGAGGAATCTCCTTGCTAGGAAGCAACGCGCTCTGGGAATTGCAGGAGAGTAACCTCGGATCAGGGCTCCTTTTCGGCGAATGCCTTTTTTGGTTGACAAGCTTGGGATGCATCCAAGTGGAAATCCACACGTTTCGGGGGAGCAAATCTACTTTTTCGAGGTCTAAAAACCGGCCAGGAAAAACGCCTCGGTGCCCTCTCCACTTTTCTGGGATCCGAACCTCCGAAGCTATGCCCCCAGTGACCCCAGCAAAAGGGAAGCCCTTTTGACAAGGCCGGTTTTTTTTTTTGTGGGAATCCAACACCAAAAAGTGCAACAGGTACCACTGAACAGCTTGAAAGGTCTAAAAAGGACCCCCAATCAACTGGTCGCACCTCGTGCCGCTGAAACCGCATGCATGCCGACTTTTTCTTCATATTGATATTTGGCAAGTGTCCCCTCTCCATGGCGGTCTTGATTGACGCGGCATGGGCCAGGGTGCTCTTTCGCCGAATCCTTTTTCAGTTGTATAATATGGAAAATCACCCTTTCCGTCGTACGGAAGTGGGCCATCCCTTGACTACTTTATCACTTAAAAAGGGAAAGCCACAAGCCCCCCCCCCCTCCAGGAAAAACAAAGTCCACAACCATGCTGTTTGAGTTCAGGCAGCCTAAAACGGACCACCCTGGCATGAGGGATTTGTTTCCGTGCAGACGGTGTCGGCCAAGTTAGGTGTGGGCGCCTCGTTTCGTGGACCCACCCTGTAGGCTTGCTCCCAAGATATACGTCTCTGCTCAGAGCCGCTCAGACTGGCAATAAAGAATGTGTCTGTGGCTCAGAGCAATTGAGACTGGCACAAAAAAAACGAACCTCTCATGAGGTCAGCTTTCAATGCCCTACAGCGGAAAGAGGACTCAGTGAGCCTGCCCGCAGAACATTGTCGGCGAGGCGGACACTAAAACACGAGCTGCTGCTAAAGCTGAGGCTGCGCTCTGCACCCTGCCTTCTCAAGGTGCGAAAACCTTCAAACTGGAAACCTCTTGGTTTCCATACAACTGTTTTAGCTGAGTCAAGTTGGCACCATCTTTGACAGGGGGCAAAGGACATACCTTCCGAATCAAAATGGCTCAACTTTGTGTGCCAAGCTTGGGCACTTGGACGCAGGGCTAGGCCAGTCCCTCGTTTGAGCATAACATACACACCTATTTTAAGCATCCTCGTTTGGTTCCCTTCAAAAGGGGTTGCCGGGTTTGGTTCTCAATCCTTGCCCAGCCCTGCTTGGAAAAGCAAGTGACACTTTGCGAGCACTTCGAGGGCAAGCAAGCCACAGGCACCTGCCTCACGGCTCGGCGATGATGGTGTTGCCATCCTCTGCAGGCACCGACAGCTCCTCGGAGATGACACCAAAACACCCCTCCGTCACTAGAAACCAAGCCACGTCACCCAACACCTGCCTCCCCATATCCGCCCGCCTTCCCCCCAAAGCAAAGAAGAAAAAATATGCTCAACCCCCCCCCCCCCCTCCCGCCCGCGCCCCCAACCTTCCAAAAACACACACAGACACAGACACACAGACACACAGACACACAGACACACAGACACACAGACACACAGACACACAGACACACAGACACACAGACACACAGACACACACACAGACGCACACAGACACACACAGACACACACAGACACACACAGACACACACAGATACACAGAGACACAGAGAGACAGAGACACAGAGACACAGAGACACAGAGACACAGAAGAACGAAGACACAGAAGACACAGACACAGACAGAGACACCGCCACAGACACGGACACGGACACGGACACGGACACGGACACGGACACGGACACGGACACGGACACAGACACAGACACAGACACAGACACAGACACAAACACAGACACAGACACAGACACAGACACAGACACAGACACAGACACCGACACCGACACAGACACAGACACAGACACAGACACAGACACAGACACAGACACAGACACAGACACAGACACAGACACAGACACACACAGACAGACACAGACACAGACACAGACACAGACACAGACACAGACACAGACACAGACACAGACACAGACACAGACACACACAGAGACACACACACACTCACAAACACACACACACACACACACACACACACACACACACACACACACACACACACACACACACACACACACACACACTACCCGCCCACCGATCTCTCTCTCACTCCCCAGCATTCGCCCGTGCCTCGCTGCCCTTGCCGATCTGCTTCTCGTTGCGCGGCCAGTTGTAGGGGTCCCAATCTTGGAAGGCCTTGTCGCAAGCCGCCTGCAGGTTCATGCCCGAGGACCTCAACGTGTCGAACGCGAACGGGGAAACCCCGCCCAAAAATCATGCCCCAGCAGAAAATTGATGCCATGGCTACGAACCTGGAACCAGAGCTAATGCTACCGACTGAAACCAGTTCTGACATGCCTGCAACTTCAGCCATATCCCGGGCAGTCCCAGCGAACCAACCCCAATCGGATACTCAATAGCTTCCAACGCTGCAGCAAAAAGCAGATGTGCTGTGCATCCAGGAATCATGCGTGATCCCATGTGGTTTCTCTCGCATACCACTGATTCTGCATGAATCAAAAAGGCAAATCAATGGAGGAGTGCTTCCCCGAAAAGCAAACTGGATCCCCTCCGAATCGGACATGCCCGCATTAATCAACCAAGGGTTAATGAATGGGTCAACATTAGTCCATCACACCATGGCCATGAGTGCGTGATTGCTGGCAGCGAGTCTGGCTTTCTTTTGACCCGTACCAGGCCCATCAGAGTGAAACACTCTTCCCACATAAAGCAGGGGGGAACTATCTGGTTAATGTAGTCTTGTTGTCAGTTGCTCAGTTGGTTCTGACCCTAATGTAAGACTTGGCACATGGCCGTGATTGTTATTCTTGACCATGCCCTGCAAAGTGCTGGAGGAACCAGCTGGGCTTGAGCTATTGCTGACAATGCCTGCACTGGAGGTGTGTACAGGTTACTCGGTTACTACCTTTTCGGATGCCCGGTGTGATTCGCGAGTACCTGAGTATCCATCGTCGTGTGCACTCGCAGCCTGCCGCGGAGTCATCGCCATCTTGTTTCGTTTGCTCAAGGCACCACCACAAGAACACAAGAATGATTCAGAATGAGACATTCCAATGATTCAGAATGAGACATTCCCCAGTGTGGTGGGCGCAAATCTCCACCTCCTTTGAATTTTCTTCCTCGAGCCGAGACACGTCATGGCCATGACCGCTGCCGGGATTCCAGCTGCCAGGCCCACGCAGTCGGCGCCACGATCCGCATCCCCTGCGAGAATCTGACCCACTCCCATGGCGCATCAAGCTGTCCAGAAATCCTGAAATCCGTCATCTTGAGGAAAAAAGGAGCCGAAAGGAAATCCTGCATTTTCTGCTCTTTCCTCTTTTTTTTGGGGGGGGCCAAAAAGTTTGACACGCCCACACAGGCGGTTTCGCCGCGCTCCTTCCAACGCGAGCCCAGCGCGAAAAACAAAATGCCCAACTTGCCCGGCCTGCAGTGTGGTCCTCTTGCCGGGAAACTGTACATTTTGTCCAATAAGGCAACTGAAAAAGAACCTCTCTGGAAGGCCAAAGCCCTGAAAGAGGAACACCTGTACCCTGCCAAAGGCGCGAGGATCCCCGATTTCTTTGAACTCTGAAAGGGATCCCCGATTTCCGGACCTAACTTTGGCCTTCGCCCAACTAGCCACACTTAGAACAACTATGTAAAAGGGTTTGCGAAATCGACCCTCGCATCATGTTTAAACACACATCTCATGTTGGCCTCCCGTTCAATGCAAGCCAGGGAGTGGTGTGTGGTTTCCTCATATCTTACCCAACGCAGGACGGGACCCACCCAGAATGGTCTCATTGTCCTTTCGTGGCTGGTAGCGCGCAACTGAGAAGCCCCATATTTGTGTGTTCTTTGTTGGTGGACCTCCCAAGGGCACCCTCAAAAGCAGACAGACCCGTATTCCCCGCCTTTCTTTGCACCCAAAGACCCACCCACTTCGCCTACGATGTTGATGCAGGAGTTCGCCGCCAGTGCGAAGAAGCGGGTGATCAAGCTGAGCACCGCGATGAGGCCGGTGACGTCCACGGCACAGACCCTCCCCTCGTCCGTGCCCGGCTCACAGTGGATGGTCATGTCTCCCAAAATGATCGCGGCACGCATGATGAACCTCAAGAATGGTTGAAAAACCTGCCCCAAATTTTGGAGGCACCCCCTGTTTTGAGATTATGACTTCAGGAGAACCACAGGAACCTCAGAAACAGCGGGGCTCTTTTGTGTCCTCAAGGAAGCGCCAGCTTGAAGCGGCTCTTTTTTTTTGGGGGGGGAGGCGGGGAGATTCCTGTAGTTTGAGACAAAGTGGGCCAAGGCCCCCTTTACTGGGGTTGATAGGGATGGTCATGAGCCTCTAAATGGGGGGTTCTAGACAACGATAGGATTCCAAGGGTGAATGAGATGAAGGACAAGGAGAGCGAAGGACCCTAAATGAGCGTCCATGATCGATTGCGAGAGTGAGCGAGACTTCATGACGGCGAATGAGACTTGATGAGACCAATCGAGAGTGATGAGAGTTCATGAAGTGCATGAGAGTACAGGAAACGAATCAAAGCAAAAGCGCGCGAATGAGCGACAAAGGAGAGATGAGCAAAGAGTCTACGATCGGAATCAAAGTGAATAGTCAAAGTTAGATTCCTGCTGATGGATAGCTCCTCCAGGACTCAAATCTCCGTCACACCATCTGCCAACATCGAGCCATATGGGCATGCCTTACCTAGATACAATGAAAGGCTCGAAAAGGCGAGAAACGAGGTGGAGAAGGGAAATGAGGCACAATAAGAGCGTGAAAGAAAAAGAAGCTCCGCGGCTGGAAATCGGTTCCCATTCAAACAAAATGCTGCACTGCCTTGGGCCTTCTACACAGGAAGCTCCGCGGCTTGGACGCCAAGCTAGGGCATGCTGTTACTCCAGGACAAGAACCCAGGCTCCACATGCAAAGGCACGTCTGAGATGCAATCAAGATCAAGTGGCACCGCCTTTCATGCCCTTCGGTGGGAAATGATAGAGTCAACATCTGAGTGATCTGTGTTGCCATCTCAAATTTTGGGGTTATGAAAGGAAGCTTAGTGGGTGACGTCACAGAGGCCCTTTTGTGAGGTCATGATCCTAGTCGTAAATCCCATGCCCCGACCATTTCCTGCCGCGGTACGTAGCTCCAAGATCGAGCTGAAGAACGCAGCGGTTGATGGAGCCGTATACAATGTCCTCGAACAATTTGGCAGTCGATCAGAATTGGGCAAGCCTGATCCAAGAGCAAAGCAATCCAGGAAATACTCCCCTGAACATCAGCCTGGATACAAAATACTTACGGCGATGTTGACATTGGGTGGTCAACCCATCCTTTTTGGGGCTTCCCTGATCTTCTTTAAAGGGTTCCAAGGCTTTAAGGGCTTCCGCTGCGGGATGTTCGAAAGATCAACGCTCATTCCTGGCGTGGCGCTGTCCACCCTCCCTTTTGGGTTTCGGTGCTTCCATGCGTACTTTCCGGCGGCAGGGATGTGCTCGAATCTGGTTTGTTAGCGTCTTCCATGGGATTCTGCCAAAAGCTCCGAACCACGGTGCGGAAAAGAAGAATGGAGCAGACTTGTCTTTCAAGGCCTGGGTGGAGGCGGGGGATGTTCGCTGTTTTTCCTTTGGTTGGCCTTCCCCAAACCATGTTGTGAGGCGAAAAGAACACACGGCGAATTGCTCTCTCCACGCATTTCATCCACGGACAAAACGCGTCCTACTGGATCCATCAAAGTGACATCCTCTGTCTTCCCCTTTCAACCATTTTCCACAAGGTCGCCAGGCACATGTTGAAAATTCCCCCAAGATCGTCTTGCTCCTGTGTCCAGGGGGCCCAAACTGCCCCCCAACCCACCCACCCAGTACCAACCCCCCCCCCCCCCCCCCCCCCCTCCCCCCCCCTCCCAAACCCCCAAACTCCCTGGCCCTCCGCAAGCCGAGGTCGGTCCTTTTCGACCGCCGGGTTGGAGGGCAGCACCTCCACGTCGGCCCCCTGGTTACGGAGCCACTTGGTGGCCTCATGGATCAGCTCCGTCTTTCTTCGGTTCAGCTTCGCCTCCTGCGATGGCTGGACCTTGTGGTGGTTTAGGGCTGGTTTCGTGTGCTAATTTAGGGTGGGTTTGGGTGTCTTTGGGTGGGGTTGGGTGGGTTTCGGTGGGTTTAAGGTGGGTTCAGTTTCAGTGGTGGCTTAGGGTGGCTTCAGTGGTCCAGTGGGTGCTTGTTAGGGTTGAAAGGCTTTGGATTGGCTAGGGTTGTGCCTTCTGAGGTCTTCACAAGCTGAACAAACGGCCCTACAAGAAGCCGGACAGTTTGCCAGTGGAGAAACTGCGCAATTGCAAACGCGACCCGGGCAGCTGAGTGTTGCTGGTGTAGTGGGGGGGTACTGCTCATAATACTGGCCGCAAAAGCCAACCCAGAAAAAGCAACCACCTCCATGCTCAAATGAATTGACCAAAAAAAGACAGCGCGCAAAAGGGCTCCCTTTGTCCCCTTGAACATCACCTAACCCGAGGGAAACTCACCTGGGCCCAACAACCAAAGCGGAAACCAGCGCAACCCTCACAGAAAAAGGTGGGCTCCTCTGCATCGATGATGTCCATTGGGGTTTTGCCCTTGTTGAGGCAATTCGCATCGTAGACAAGGGTGGACTGCAGGAGCACTCCCAGCCCACCAGTGAACGCCCCGATGTTGGCAGCGCAGTTCGCGGGCACGTTCAGGGACCCTGAGCCTCGAAAGAGACATCCGTATCCCCCCCCCACCCCCCGCCCCCGCCGCTGCCGGCATATTCAGACCTCCAGGCGTAATTTGCAAACAGAAACGACAAACAATTCTTGGAACCACACCCGCTCATGGAAGTCACTCAGGCCAGGAGGGCGATAACAGCCCCATGAGGACGGCAGACACGGACACGTGGCCAGGCAATTTCTCAATCAGAGCACTGCCATTTGAGACAATGACTTAAATACGGATCGCAAAGCCTAGAGCGTAGAGGTGTCCCATTTATTCAGACAAGGAGAATGACATCGAAATTCAGCCGCCTACCTTGCAAATTAGCGGTTCGGGAAGTGTGCAACTTCGCAGGTTGCCAACCCTGGCAGTCGAACCAGGTCAGACACTCAGCTCTACCAGAACGGGCGGCAGGTCGAGATGGAGGCCGCGATCACGCCGGCACCCAGCTCGACCTGGAAGATGATCCCGAAGATAAACCCCGCGCAGCGTTCCTTTTCCTCGGATCAGTGATCGATGGGAACCTGCTTTTTGTTTGGTCAAAGGCAACCAGGAAGCCATGTGTGAAACACATTGGAACCATTCCACTTGCCGACATCCCGCTGGCTACGATGCTTTGCCCATAGTCCTGAGTTTCAAACAAGCCCCCCAAGCAACGTACCAGGAAGTCGCTTTTCAGTGGGGATTCTGTTCTTCGCGCAGAACCTCCTCTTTAGAATAAGGGGCTATTGATCAAGGGTGAAGATGAAACTGTGATCAGGCTCACAGGGATCCTGATTCGCTCTTGCCCACAGGACTATGGATCTTTTGATGGATGTCTACTTGTCTTGGCCCTTTTTGTCACTTTCTCAAGACAACGCATGCCGTTTTGTGTGTTTTCCGTGTTGTACAGGAATGCCGAGGGTTCCTTTTGAACAAGAACAAAAGGTGGTATAACAACCCAATGAACATTTTGAGTATGAAACCAACAAGCTGTTGTTATCAAAGAAACACTTGCAAGTCACGAGCCCTTGGCTAAACATGAAACCACACAAGACACATTAAAAGGGTCTTAGGAGTGGATCTATGGGAGAATGAATACTCAGGTGAATCTAAAGGCTTGGATGTCAAGCCAGCTTGATTTCCTCGACCAAAGGGCTCCCTAAAACCACCAGATTAGTCACCTGAACCTTGTCCCCAAGAGTCTTGCATGCCACAAGCTCTGGAAAGGTCGAAGGTCTCTTGCAACACGGACCTGGCAAAGGCACCCTTAGCTGAAGACCTTGTGTCAAAAACCCTGAAAATCTTGCCAGGTGCTTCTGGGTGTGATGCTCTGAATGCAACCACCATGGAACCTTGCCGAGTCTCCTGCTGGTTCGGCAGCCGCTTTGACACTCTCTTGATCGTCTCGAAGTCACATACTTTTGAGACGACCTCCGGATCTGCGCCAGTTCCAGAAGCCAGAACATTGCGTCTGGGAACTGCAACACATGTTTTGTTTGTTCCGTGACCTCTCAAACATTCACCCCCACCTGTTTCGGACACTAGCTGGGGTTCGAAACATTCCGAACCGAACCTGCCCAAACGCTACCGGAAACCATCCGTGGCCCCTCCCAGCTTCCGCCAGGGTCCAAAATCGCCCCCACTTCTGTGTGAGCGAGTAGTCCGCACCCGTGATGCCGAATTCCTGGTTAGCTGTTTCCTACCCGAAGTGGTTCCACAAAGTGGTTCAACAAAGTGGCTCAACCAAGTGGTTCAACAACAATCCCACAAGGGTGGATCCTTGTTAAGTACAACAGACGAAAAACAGGAAACCAACATTTATTGGAGGTCCCCTACCAAAGGACACGCCCAAAACCGACACTTCCGGTTCGGCCTGGGAGAAGGCCCCGATCCCCATGAGGCGCGCCACGCTTTGCGCTATGTCCGCCGTGCAAAGCACGTGCCCGGCCTGGCAGCGTCCTTTTTCGGGGAAAGCAACCAGAGTGGGGAGGAAATGGGGGTGTGCCCCCAAAAAGACACATTCAGAAAACGCAATTTGAGACGCCCTGCCCATATGCCAACAAGGGTGACATGGCCGCCCTTGGGGGGTTCTCAAAATAATGGCTTTCCGGCTTACCTGAAAATAACACCAAGGGACCATTTGAGTCATAGTCAACACCCGGTAGTAAAATGGTCTACCCCGAACCATGTGAAGAATTATGAAGGCGGCCGCAGCTATTTTTGGTTGGGATTGTCCCTGACTGATCTTCATCTACCCGGGTTTTGATTGTGGCTCATTTAGGAAATCCGGTCCCCCCAGTTCCAATTTCTCGCGGTTTTCGATCGCGCCGTCTCAGTGAAGTGCGCCAGCTGTAGGGTGGGCAGCTGCTTGCCCTCCAGCTCCGCCTCCAGAGCGTGCCAAGTGTCCTCGCTGATGTCGCTCAACCCCGAGCTGCGCAGACTCCTGCATAAAAACCGGCCGAGGGGAAACAGCAGGAAACAAATACCATGTTGGATAGACCAAAAGGCACAAGGGAGATCGCACAACTGCACTGTCTGCACGAAAGTTCTCCTATTCCTCTAGAAGAATCAGAGAGACCCCCAAAATGGCTCGCTCTTTGTTCAAAACGACACACCCAAATGTCAGTGCAAGTTTGGGCAGAAAGTATCACCTTCAGCGCAAGGAATGCCCGGGCAACCCAAACAAAAACCTCGTGCTCCTGTAGACCGTGGGCATTGCCAGCAGGCCCAACACAAGCGCTAGAGCCCCAGCAGCACGCCAGGGCACTCGAAAGCTCGGTGCCCGAGGATTTTGCGGAGGATCCTGCCATTGGGAGCTGAAAACAAAAGGCCAAATCAGGGAGCTAGAATCATCTGAGCGAAACAAAACAAGCGCGGTTCCCCAAACATGCAAACATTGGTTGGGGTCCCACGGTATTTGTGGGAACGTTGGGTGGGCCGCTATGTCCTCGCAAAACTTACGATAGACTACCGGCAATACTGTCAGTTGCTCATCTGTTGCCAGAAGCAACAAGTTTTGAGCGTCGTGCATCCGGCGCCTGGTCTATATTGAGTGACGGCTGGAGCGCTGTGGTGACGTCAATCTCACCTTCCTCCATGTTTTGCGGCACAGCGACAGCCGCCGGAAGAGGAAAGGGAGATATGAGCTGAAAGGTTGCGGTTGGCATTGTCACAAAAGAGAGCAATTGGCGACCCTGTGGACACAATTCACTTGGGACTTGGGGATTCATACAAAAAACATATACTCCAGTCAACATCACAGGCTTCAAGGGAAACAACCCCCATGAGTACTTTTGAGAACCTCCGGGCACCCAGCGCTGGGCAAGCTCGGCCCAGGCAGCGATCCCTCGGCCAAGAAGTGATACCGATGCAACAAAAGTTCATCTCCACATGGAAAGCGTGGTTTCCTTGTGACGTCACTTTGAATTGACCACAAAAAGGCGACTCTCAATACTTGTGCTCGTTAAAAGGGTCATTGCTGAGCCACCCGTTTAGAGCCCTCGTGTTGGATGCTCATCAGTGAGCAACTTGTCAGACTCGGCGGGTGAGACTAACCCTGGGTGTTGCAACGACAAATCTGTTTTCAAATGGGCTTGTCTCAATTTTCAAGGCACCCTCCCCTTCTAAACCAACCCGGAGGAGGGTTCCACCAAACACACCCAAGTCCCACCAAGGAGTGGTTGAGCCAAATGCTTAGGTTGCCGGCATTGGGCACGTAGCTGGCAGGAGCGGATGGCAGTGACGCCTCAAGGCATCAAGCCAAGGGTTTGGCACGGGGGTTGGGGTTTGGGCACAAAAAGCCCGCAATTTGTTGGGAGGTCTAAGACGTGAAGATGATCACGCGCTATTCACCCACCCAAACCTGCTGGCGACCTCTATCATCCCTGGTGCTGGGTGGCTTCTAAAGCAGCTCCACAAATCACTAGAATATACTAAAGAAACGCAGTCCCCATGCGAGGAACTACCATCATGGGCCAGCTCATTTACCCCTCCCCTCCCCACCAGGTGAGCCCGCGTCTGTGTTTTCAGCATACTAAGTGTTTGTTTGGTTTAAAGGGGAAACCGACAGGAAAGCCATGTTGGGGGCCCCATCTGTCCTCAGCCCCCGTTGCCAAACCCTGGCTGTCTCGGCCTGGGAGCGGACATCCGCAACGGGCTCGGACCTCGGCGAACGAGGGCGGCGACTATGGCGATGACTGCTACCACCGGGATTTCTCAACCTCTGCTCGATTTATAGGGGGTGTCTTATTTGGGAGCGTTCTTCACTTTCGGGGGACACGCACCTCTACTAATCCCCCAAGTTGATTGATCCGGGTCACCATTCCGGATGGCAGCTTCCTGTCAACTTCCGCCCGGCCGCTGGCACGTAGGGATACAGACATTATGGCAGTGTGGCAGAGGCCGGGGACAACAAGGAACCACCCAAGTCTTGTGCCCCGCCTGCGTGCTTCAGGCAGTGGCGAAAGAAACCCAAGCAAATCTCAAAACCGTCTCCGCGCACCCTTTGGTGCACAAACGTATGCAAGACTTGCTACAATCTGCGTCTTGATTTATGGTCTCAAATAGCCGTTTCAACTATTTGGTCCACTCAGTGAACCTTGCACGTGAAGAACTCACTCTCCTGAAACCAGTGGGAGCATGGGAGCAAATGGACTTGTTCTGGCCCTCCGCTTGTTGTGTGGCAAACACTTATGCCTGCATTGTGATCAGGACCCGCGTGACACGGGCGACATATACCTTGCGGAGCGATTTTGTAAAATGGATCCTTCTGAATCTATGTGAGCCACGGTCAACAGTCACTATTGACCATGCTGCCCCTGAAATGACCTTTGGTGTTGTTGAGTGCCTCCTTCCACATGGTAAAGCATGAGGTTGCCAACACCATCCCCGTTGCTACATGAATAGTATTGACTGTCGCCGTCGCTTCCTTCGAATTCTGACCACCCAAGTGGTATGTCGGCCCCTCCACTACACACGCAAAGAACCAAACGAGATGTATTAAAAAACACAAAAAACTGGATTTGAAAAAAAGAAGCAAAAAAACACAACACAACAACAAATGATGTGTTGTCTTGTTTACCACAAAAGAAGCCTCAAAATTGCCCCAGTGTGGTTTCAAGCGGCCCGAATTTTCGTGAAACCCAATATATACACAATTGTGTGTATGATCAATGTGGCAAGTCCAAACCAAGCATGCCAGTGGCGCCCAGTAGTGCGAGACAAAGTAGAGCCCGGCGATGGCGAAGGGACAGCGAAATCAATGCCCCACTCACCTTTGTCTCTGCATGCTAGCTCTCGGCCCCCAGCCGCGCCATGCGAGAGCTGGGCTGGTCGCCCTGCCACAACGATGAGTGGGGCGTCTCTTCTCGTTGAGAGTCGACTCTCCCTGATCTTGGTTCAAGTAGTAAAGGAACCATTGGGCTCATGTCTCTTTCTTGGTTTACAAGGAAACCAAACAGGGACATCATTCATTGGGGGCCCAAAACCCCCATTTTCACTCATACCCAACAAGCAAGGAGAACCCCACCAGAAAGGACAGCGCTCCGAATTCCCTGGCAGGGTAGAAAATTCTGGGTAAATAACGAGTACAATTGTTCCACCCTTAAGGGTTGGTCATCTTTCAATGTCCTGGTTAGCATGGCAGAATTATTTTCACAAAGCTTGGGGCGATTCTTGCTACAGGCCTTCCCGCTATCACAAACTCGTGCAAGGCACAGAGCGCTTGCGGACAGAATGAACCAGAACTCCCAAGAGTTTCGTCGACATGTGGACCTTTCCATCCCCCGGACCCCTTACCAGTGTGACCCCTGACTCAAGTCAAAAAGCCTGGCAAAAGGGAGACAATGAAGCCAAGTGATTTTGGAGAAAGAAAAACAAAACGTTTTCTTGCCCCGAATTTCTGTGAAACTCTCTCCCGCACCTCGGTTCTCTCCCGCACCTCGGCCCGCACCTGGAGGGCCTGCACCAACGCAAGTGCAGTCCGTTGGCATAGCGGGCCCATGGCGGGTTTCATGTTGGATGAGAAAGCTTGGTTGACGTTGGAAGGGGAGCAAAAATTTAAATGTTAGCAGCTATATAAGTAGGGACTTTCCACTAAACCACCATGAGCAAAAATGGACCATCAACAACCATGAAAGTATCCTTCCCAATCCCGTCAGCCCAGCGGCATCCGCCCGGCGCCCTAAGGCTTCCGGCGTACCAGTGCAAGGCAGGGAAGCGTGGGCAGCTAGCTGGTTGAGACCCATTCGCTCGGCTTGCTCCAGAGGTCGAAACTTGGGCCCAAGGGAACCAACGGAAACGCAAAGGTATTTTCTACCCGCACATTTTGGAGGCTTGGGAGCAACCCTCTTGAGAGGGCGAGGGAGAAGGGGAAGGAGAAGAAATGGGAATGGAAAGGAGAGAAGGAAGGGATACGAAAAGGACAAGGATGCAACGAGAAACCAACTCCATTTTGGGAACCGACTCCATATCCCATTTGAACGAAGCCGCTTGCTGTGTGCTCTTCAAAGCAGGCAACCCGTAAGACCGGATGACTTTGTCTAAGTCTCCCTTCAAACACCAACAAAACGAGCTTCAGCTGCAGTTGGCCGCCTCGGAAAAGTGATGTATTTTCTAATCAGGACCATGTCCCTTTGAAACCCAGCGGCAAATCGACAAATGGCTGGACCATGTTGGGTTGCTCCTTCAAAGAGAGAAAGTGAAGTGAAGCCCCTAGAAAGCCGGGAAAACACAAGGCTGCGCTTTGCGAAGGTTGAAAAGGCAACACCGTTGGACCACTTGAACCCAGGACTTCCCGGGTCGCCACGCCTGGAGGTTCACCTTTGGCACCACCGGCCGTTCGGAAAGGCGTGCCTTGGCTCGGCAAATTGGTCGTGGCTTTGTTAAATAGCCCCCGAA